GGGCAAGGGGGCGGTCGGCGGCACTGGGGCAAACTGGGCGTTGTTGTTGCTGTTGTCGTTGTGCAGGCTCCTGTTATCATCCTCAACAACAAACTTCGCAGCATTGCTGGGCCTCCTGAGCTTCAGCCACCCCATCCTGACTGCCCGGGACTGTGGAGTCTGTCTCTTTTTTATGATCCTGCGTATTGGGGTGATTTTGTTGGACCGCTTGTTGCGCCAGAACATGGCAGTGGAGATCACGATAGTTATCAGCACCATTATGCCCATGACACCAGCTAGCACTCCTAAGGCTTTCATGGGGTTATCTTTAGTTTGCATCAAAAAGGCGGCCATAGGCCCTTTGTGAAGAGTCTGTAAAAGAGTACAAAGAAAACACGTGACTTACTCTATGGGACAGACAGCGACCCAGAAATTTCATTTGTCCAAAATATGTAACAGGCAGGGCTGACTAATGGGAGTTGTCTCTAAAAAAAAAGAGACTCTCAAAGACCCAGTCCAGGTTTGGAGAATTTAGATGGAGCAGGATTCTGAGCAAGAACTGTGAAAATGGGAGACTGTCCAACATACAGAAGTATTACCACCGAATTGGGAGAGACTCCTGCACGTCACCATTGTGTTTGTTTAACTGGCAAGGACTGAGCAGGAAAATAATTGGCTCCAGGATCTGCAGCGGTAGTGTTACACTACATCTCATAGTCAATACTAGTGTGGAACCTAAACAGAAGTTTATTAGCAGAAAGCAATCTTTCAAAACCAGTCGCAGGTGATACGGTGATGCAGTTTATAGGACTGAGCACGGCGTTGAAAAGATTATCAGAAAACTTCACTTTATAAAATTACAGTGTACAAAAGAGTAGTTGGCAGGATGTGCTACGTTCTGTTTTCAAGTACTCTTTTACAGACATAACAAAACTCTTTGAGGTAGGGGAGATGAGTAGAGCTAAAGAGCTTTGTTCTTAGAAATAAATAATAACATAAGCTACATATGGCATATTAAGGACAAATGAATGGCCAGTTGACTTTGCAGCTTATCACGCTGTGCGTTTCGGAGGTCCCCGTATAATTTTGCGGATTTTGCCCTGCGGGTGGAGCCTGGATCTTTTCACACTTTTCCAATACATGATGGTGGAGATCACCATTGTTACAGAAATGGTGGAAAGGACGCCACTCATGCAAATTCCAAATATTGTCCACGGATGCTTCTTGAGGCCTAAAATATAGGATTTTACCCTGGACTTGATCTGGAAATATCAAAAATAAGAGAAACGGTCAGCCCTCACACGGTTATATTTGAAAGAGGCCAGTATCTATTATGAATACAGCTAGGGAACTAGGGTGAAATGTGTGCAGGATAGAGAGCTTATAAAATAAAGGGAGCTAAGTGTTGAGGAGACAGTTGCAATGACATTGAACTGAACCCAGAAACACTACAAGAGGTTAGGAAGCGTGTATAGACATCTGGCCGATCAGGGAATAAAGGCACATAGGTCACCCTTATTCGCAGCATGGCCGTCCACCCTTGCACTACGTTTCCATGAGAAGTTCATAACGAACACAACCTCTGCTACAGTCTCTGGGCAGGCAGCAGCGCTGTGCAAGGCCAGGAGACCCTTCAGAATCGGCACGTTCACCAGGTTTTTTACCAAGAGCTGATCATAAGCCACGTGTGGCTGCAGAGACAGGGCTCCCCCCTCTGCCCCAGTCCTCTGGCCTCAGCTCCAGGAGGGAATCATCACCCGAACTCTGTCTGGTAACAGGTTATCTGCATTTTAGTTAGCGGTCTGAACTCCCAGCCTTTAGTCAATGGGGAGAAACGGGCACCTCCAGCGTAGTAGTCACCACATGCTAAAGTAGGTACCAAAGGCAGTGAGTATAAGGAGAGCCTTGTGACTAGCTCGGACTCGAACCTCTGACTTTGAGACATATCAAACAGATTTCCCTGTGTGGCTCTAAACGAGGATGCTCATCTCTATCCTCCCCGGTCTGTGGAGGAAGGTGACTAAGAGTCTCTGAAGCCAAAGGATGCTTCAGAGTGCCTTTTGTCATTCAGTACACAGGGACACTATTTATTTTTAAATCACACGCCTAAACGTAAAGAATGTAAATTCATTAATAAACCCCACAGCATCTTCACTTCTGCGTGTTCACCACCTATCTCACACATACTACCCAAGCCTACCCTTCCCCTACCCTGAATGTTCCTACTGCCACAGAGAAATGGGAGAAGAAATGCTGTTGAAACTCATGGACCGTGTTACCTTACTGGTAGTTACCAATTTTAATCATTATGTTGTGCAAAGAGTTTTTC